CTCTCTCTCCTCTCCAGTTCCAGCCCTGCATGCACGCGTCGGGAGCGCACAGAGGGCGCACCGGTGTCAGTTTGCTCCAGCCCTCTTTGTAGCGCGGTCGGTCGCTGCTGGTTTGCGCGCAGCGGCGTCTCAGAGCAGGAATTTTGGGGAGTGGAAATTCCGCTGTTACTTTAAACTGACTCGCCTCGTATTCCTGACATTTCTGCTGTGGCGGTCAGTCAGACGGTCGGTTTTGCGAGCGGAGAGAGGCGGAGAAAGAGCTGGACTGAAATCAGGAGTAAAGATCTGGAGAGAGGCGCTCCGATGTTCCCCGCGGCTGCCTTTCACTGAATACCGGTTAACTAGTGATTTCTGTCCTTTCATTTCCTACTTGGAAGTACGCGTATCGCTCCTGTCTGGTGTCAGAAGTGAGAGATTCGAGCAAAGAATCGATGCGCACAGCTGCCACTTTTGGCGAAAGGAATTTTCCCCTTTTTTGATCCTTGTTTTCTGCATTTGGATTATTATTTGTTGCTTTCCAGGAGATGGCAAGTTGCTCCCTGACAGACGCAGGGCTCCGGTGCTGAAGCTCACAGGATGCTGGGGACCCTACAACAACCACATCTCTTACTTTGAGACAGATTTCGGTTATTTTTTTCCCCCTCTCTGGACGTAAACTCCTTGGACGTTTTTCCCCCTCCCCTCCGTTTGTCTTTATTTTCTTTCTTATTTTTTAATTTCTACAGAATGTCTTTGTTGTACTGTCTAATAAGGATGCGTAGTGGATTGCTATTGTTCCTTTTCACCCAAGTCGTCTTGGTTGCTTCGTTGACTCAGACTGGTAGGTGTTGACTGCTTGTATGAATACATGTGGCTTGACAACAGGCAGCTTAGCTGAATATTGATCCATTTTGCATCATTTTGCACCATTGTTACCTCTCACCTGTTATGCCTCTGCTTTCCCTTTGAGAGCACGTCTGCAGGGCTTCAACTTAGACCAACGCAGATACAGTTTTTACTAGAATTACTCTCACCTATGGAAAAAAAATAGGAATATTGCGCAAAATTCGCCAAAAAAAAAAACAACGATTAGACCAAAAATACAACAAAAAGAAGCATAAATTACATCACAATCACCACAGACGTCAATATGCTGCACAACAAGTCGCTGTATTAATATTTCCTTATTTGAATAGAAATAAGGGGCTGTTTGCCTTTAAGCTTTGTTCGCTTCATCCATTCAAAAAGGCATTTTTGGAGCTTTTACGCGTGTCGCCGCTGAAGCATGATCTCGACTACAAGCAATTTAATAAATCATTCAGTGAGAAAATTAAATGTAATCATGCTGCCTGCTTCACCTTCATGGGCGTAATCACACCTCATGGCGCGGATGCAGAGGAGCCTCACTTTGTACCACACCTTTGCCAAATTAGTGTAATGGTAAAGTTTCCGCACCTTTTTTTCAGGGTGATGAGATATTTTTATTGTGTGAATTTATAGCTCCAATGTGCGGATGGGCTCTTAGCGCAACATTCTGTGCTCTTTTTTTATTTGTCAACATAAAAATTGTTATTTGGATTTATGATGTTTCCAGACTGGACTTGTTCGTTCACCCTCCCTTCCCTGATGCACTTAAATCTTTTACGCCCAAAATGCGCCATCAGTCAGCATTAGAGTGCAGCTCAGTGCCCACAAAGTCCATTTCTCTGCTCTAACTTTCTGCCTTTCTGTTTTTGTTGTTGTTGTTTTTTCGCGGTGCAGATAAATGCGGGGGCAACATAGAGATCCACACCGCGGACTACCTGACCTCCCCGGGCTATCCCGGCGCCTACCCGCCCTCCCAGCAGTGCGTCTGGGTGATCACCGCCCCAGAACCCGGTCAGAAGATCCTCATCAACTTCAATCCGCATTTTGATCTGGAGGACAGAGACTGCAAGTAAGAGTTCACTCCTC